GGCAGGAGAAATGTGAGGAAGACTTTGAGCAATAGTGCAAAGGATGACTGGAGGGAGAGATGAAAGAAAGTTCGGTTGGAATAGCTGGGAGAGAGCCAGAAGGACAAGATAGGAACAAATAGATAAAGTACACATTGGCCTAATTTGCCAACGGGCAAGAAGATAAACGATGAAGGAGGTTGTTTTAAAGCTGTTATTCTTAACAAATTGATTCCATGGTAGGCGCAACCATATGGTGGTAAATTTATAGTGGCTAGTCTTGTACAGTACTTACCATCTCTTTAGAGAGCTTATTTTTTTCCCAGTGTTTATTTTCGCAGCGTTTTGATAGCATTATAATCATCATCATCATCTGAATTTTTATTCTAACAGTTCTAACAGAGTAAAATTTTAATTAAGATTTAAAAACACACATTCAATTGGCATAAATCAAAAATGCAACGTGAAAAAACGCATAAACACATCTTTTATACAAGCTGTTTTCAAATTAAAGAAAATTATACGAGGCAGTCTCTTTCACACACGTTTGGCTTTCGTAATGTAAAACACCTGCACCGTCAAATTTGATGACAAATTCTGATCTCTTCGCACGATGCTCGCTAACACAACGCGAACCACTTCCTCCCCCACGCAGAACATTATAATATTTAAGGCTTTCCACGGCGAGACCGCAAATACACAAGTCATTTGCGGTAATTACGCGACATTCAAACTTGCGCGCAACCTACAGCAGTTAACAAGTAAAGGAAAAGTATAGGAATGCCTCATCACGTCCGAACAGCCGGTGCGGTAACAACAAATTATGAACATTCTAGATTTGAAGCCTTCGTGACTGCAAGGATTCAATACTCTTTGGTTTTTTCGGTAAAGTCAAGTAGGTTAAAAAGGAAAACAAATAAACTAAATCACGACGTTTCGGAGGCAACACAAGCCTCCGTCTTCAGGTGGAACCGTCACAGCAAAAATTACTGTAACAGGTGGCTTGTGAAATTCCTCCCCGTAGAGGGTATTAATTCTAGATTTGAAACTTTCGTGACTGCAAGGATCCATACTCTTTGGTTACAGTCATTTTTGCTGTGAAGGTTCCACCTGAAGACGGAGGCTTGTGTTGCCTCCGAAACGTCGTGATTTAATTTATTTGTTTTCCTTTTTAACCTACGTGACTTTACCGAAAAAATTATAAACATTCAATGTGCAGCACAGCTGCCAGGGGTCTGTTTGGTGGGAAAAAAAAAAGTTTCTCAATTCCACAACTAAGAGACTTGACACCACTGCGCGAGTAAACAGGGCGTAGCTTATTTTGTACACTTTGCCGTTGACTAATTTAACAATACCCATTTTTTATTAACATGTTTCCGATTGCACTCGAATGATATTGTGCAAACCAACGTTATGTCGGGAGAGAAAATAATCCATGAATGTCGATTTTTTTTTTTAAAAGCTATTGATTGGTGACGCGTTGTAAATGCAATTAAATAACTTGAAATTCCACCAGATTTTGAACTTCCACTCGCAATTCTACATTGCCGCGGCCTCCACGTCACAATGTAAAGAAGAAAAACTTTGGCGTACATAAAGACGATTGATTATTTATTTCCTCTGCCTCGTGAGACTGGGCAGGCGTGTCAAATAGCCCAACGAGCATTAATATCAAGGACGCCCTGAAAGAGCTCATTACAGCCTGAATTAGATTAGAAATCAAATAATGAAAATGCAACTGCATGAGCATATATATTCTATTTTTTTTATTCCCTGAAACTTAAGATTTTTCTTCCACAGTGTCACTTTTATTCCCCTATATTTTGCTTTCACTAATCAATGTTTCACACCATTTCCTAATTAGAGAAAAGCTAAATGGATTTTTTTTAAAGCCAATATAAATGGCTGAGCCCCACAGTGAGGTCTGCTAGGATGGCACACATTAAAATCCGCCTGAGTGGTTTCAATCAGTGTTTTCGTTTTTCCAGGGCAGCCGTAAATCCCTGCGCTTCCTCCGTCACCCCTTAGCACCTTTCCACCCACACTGGCATGGCAACCCACACAACACACAGGGCCACGCCAATACACGACAAAGATCCCCCCCCCCCCACCGTATAGCCTCAAGCGACTGTCAGGGCAAGTGCTGTTAGGGAGTACTAGTGAAGGCTGGCACGGCGCACAAGGGGGGTGGGGTGGCCAGCACCACGCCCGACCGCCTTTGTCTCCCCAGTGGCGATGTTTACACACAGCACCAGGTACTCATTTGAGGCCGAGTCGACCTCTGGGAGGCACAGGACCGGTTTAGTTAATCATTACTGGTGTTCATACTCTTAGTTTTTTCGGTAAAGTCACGTATGTAAAAAAAATGAACTTAAAATTAATAAAAATAATAAAATAATAAAAATCACGACGTTTCGGAGGCAACACAAGTCTCCGTGTGACGGAGAAAATTTAGCTGTGACGGTCCCACCTGATGACGGAGACTTGTGTTGCCTCCAAAACGTCGTGATTTTTATTATTTTATTATTTGTATTAATTTTAATTTCATTTTTTACCTACGTGACTTTACCGAAAAAACTAAGAGCATGAATTCTTGCAGTCACGAAAGCTTCAAATCTAGAATTACTGGTGTTGGCCGTGAGCGGAAATTGAACTCGGGTCGCTGGGTTCGTAGCGAAGCGCGCTACACACTACCGCTCCCCACACACACTCACACGTGCAGAAACCGCCCCCCACTGTCCTCGCCCCACCGAGACGAGTGCAGCACAAACACCCACATAGTGCCATTCTCACCCAACACGCTGCAAACTACCCCGCTCGCTCTTTCAAGCCGTAAATTAATCGCCGCACACCGCTTGTAAACAGTGCAGCTTGGAGACAGATTAATGTGGCTTACATGGATCACATTAACCAAAGCTTGCGATTGTTGCATAGTACGATTGTTCCCATGCAGGAGCTTGCGTAACGCGGGTCACTTCGCATCCTAAAACGCAAAAGGCGTGCGGCTAAATAGCTATTATGTTAACGAGGAGCGCAGTTATCACACGCTATGATTGTATCGCCCTCTTGCCTTTGAGCGGAGGGATGCGCTGCTCGTGCCGTGTGAAACGTGAAAGCCTGTCTGAACGTTTACACGCGAACCGATGAATGTGTGAATGCATTTCAGTCACTCAGTGACAGACTAAAGTTTAAATAATTTTTGCAGTCACACCACAAAAATGTGGTGGTGTCTTGGCCACCCAGAGGGTCTAATTATGAAGCCCATATTAAACCAAATCTTTGACCATGTATATCCACCAACGATCTCACGTGGAGTGAAACGACGGAACTCGCCCAGATAATTAAACAGAAAAGATTTATATTCTGGGTTCTTTCGGTAAAGTCATGTAGAAGGGAAATAATAAAATAAAAAATATATAAAACAATAAAATTCTCACGACGTTTCGACAGCAACACAAGCAATCATCATCAGGTGTGAAATCCACAGCAAGAAAATTTGAAAATTTTCTTGCTGTGGATTTCACACCTGATGATGATTGCTTGTGTTGCAGTCAAAACGTCGTGAGAATTTTATTGTTTGATATTTTTATTATTTTATTATTTCCCTTCTACGTGACTTTACCGAAAGAACCAAGAATATGAATCCCTGCAGTCACGAAAGCTTTAAATACAAATTTTAAAGGAAAAGATTTAGTTTTTCACTTGTCAGCGTAAACAAGTGTTCTCTACGGATTATGAAGACGCAGTCTCGTGTTCAGTAAGAGAAGTTACTCTTACTAAAGCTTATAATGCTAACAGAAGTCTTGTAATTGTTATGATATTCTTAGGTTTTTTCGGTTAAGTCACGTAAGTAAAACATCAAAATAAAAATAATAAAATAAAAATAAAAATCACGACATTTCGGAGGCAACACAAGTCTCCGTCATCAGGTGGGACCGTCACAGCCGAATTAGCTGCATCAAGTGAAGCAATGATTCAAGATGTAATCCCTTATAAGCAAGTTGAAGGGAGGTGGAGAGGGGGGGTTGGAGAGCTTATCAGACTGTGGTAGCCAATGAATGGAAACGTATCGGGGGGGAGGAGGAGCGGTGATCAAAGACATCTTGAATCATTGCTTCACTTGACGCAGCTAATTCGGCTGTGACGGTCCCACCTGATGACGGAGACTTGTGTTGCTTCCGAAACGTCGTGAATTTTATTTTTATTTTATTATTTTTATTTTGATGTTTTACTTACGTGACTTAACCGAAAAAACCTAAGAATATGAATCTTTGCAGTCACGAAAGCTTCAAATCTAGAATTGTTATAATTACTATGCTTGTTTGCCCAGGAAAGTCTCATCAATTGCCATGACTCTGAGTCCTGCCAGATTTACGCAGCAGGGGGTGATGATTGCCTAAGTATAAATTGAGTAATTTGCAGGTAAATGTTTCATTTTTGGCAAATTTGGACTGCAACGTCGGCACACAATGCCCTATCTTTGCGAATTATGTCACGGGATCTTTAATAGCCACTGTGAAGCAGCCCACGAAATAGTTCATGGCAAATACCCACCTCAGCATTAAAATCGGGTTTCCTTCTCATCATAGCATTACTCCGTTGCAGAGGTCGCAACCGGGTACCCGATACCCGTACCCTACCCGATACCCGGCTACCCGTACCCGGCCGGGTACGGGTACGGGTAGACCGTGAGTCACTGGTGAGTAACTGTTTGTCACTCATTTCCCAACGTCTTGTCTCTTCTCACAATTCAAGTTCCTAGAATCAACCCACCCGCGCCTGCAACATGGTTTCATCCCAGAGGTCGCAATCAGGTACCCGATACCCGTACCATACCCATACCCGGCTGGGTACGGGTAGGGTACGGGTACGGGTACGGGTACCCGTTTGCGACCCTGGTGCGGCCAGGTACGGGTAAGGAATCAAAACCCGTTTGCGACCTCTGCTCCATTGGCAAAAGCTGTGATACAAATTGTTTGTATACCCTGTTCATCTGAAGCATACGAATAGGAAACTCTTACATTCAATGGGGTCTGCAAATTCCGGTATCAAGAGGGCCCGTGGGGTTCCATGGTACAGAGTCAACCTGCCGAGACAAAACAGCGACAGAACTCCGCGTCAGGGCACGTGCACCAACAACAATGCAGGGGACAAACCGACTGCGACAATGCCACACCACAAAGTATCGCCAGAGCATCTCTTCCTCCGGTGTGCCTATTTACCGAGCGGGCGATTATTCGGACGGCCAACACACCACTCACGCATGCAGGAAGACACTGCACGGCAACACGCCGGTTTGGCATTGTTCAACAATCGGATTAACGTGTGTTCCCATACGTCGTTGGCTGATATCCTCTTCGGTCAATAATTACTGTCAAACGGTGGCCATTAAAAAACATGTGACATGATCATGTGCTGAGGTGTAGGCCACCTTGTGCTGGTATCATCATCCACGATCACACTTTTTTTTCTTCGTATTACATGTCAAACAGATGAGCTTCACGCTTACATTGAGACTTGTGTTTTTTCTATCGACGTATCGCTGCCACTGTTGCCATCCCAAAACACTCGCAATGGACCCAATTTCATAAAATCCCAGAAGCTAAGCAGTATTAAGCCTGGATAGCGCATGGATTGGGTGACCACAATGCATAACAGCTTCTTATAGCTTCCAGGCTTATGGGGTTGTGCTACATTGGGCAGCAGTGGAGCCGTGCAGAAAAAATACATTGTTGAACTGCATTTCTACACTCCCATATTCATGCTCCCCGCCTTCAGAAACATGCACCGAACAAGCACGTGCGATCACTTATGACAAGAAAATAACCCACGTAAGCACGTGCGTCAGATGTTCTATGTTGGACCATATCTGCACTGCATACACCGTTTTGATTAGCCCCATGCAGACGCAAACTTTGACCAAATGACTTGTTCTCCTTCAAGGCAGTCAATGTCGACTCAACGTGACAGCCAAGAGAGAGATAACTGTGTTAAGGTTATTGGGTGTCCTAATTTTCATTATTTATATATGTTTTAAGTTAAAAGTTCCTGTCACATAAATAAGATCTGGTTTGTAATGTGCCTGGGTTCATTCATTCTCGAAGCGTTCTGTCCATAGGCCGGTCCGAAGTGCAATTTTATATTCAAAGTTGTTCTCACGTTTTCATTATTTTTCTTCCTCTTGGTGTTATCCCAAAGAATCTTTCCTTAATTAACCTCCTTCGGTGTCTCAAGAATCTCTCTCTCTATGATCCATATCCTTTCTCAAAGATGTCAGCGATCATGGCCTTCCTTTGATTTAGCTCTATCCGCAATATTACTCGCAAACTTTGCATTCAATACTCCCAGTTACATCCAATTGTTCAAATTGCCTAAGTAACTTAAAATGCTGTGTAATGTGCCTAGAATTGTCCCAGACAGGACATTAAATTCAGGATCTTGTTTTCTCATTACATGTCCAATAACAATTATTATTATTAATTTTCTTTTTGTACCTGCAATCCATGACACATTTGTTACTCATCGAGATGGTATCGCGCAAATTAAATCTGGCAAGGTGTCTCGAGAGACAGGTAGAATTCATCTGGGATGTCGTGGGTGGAGGTGACGCTTGAAGAAGTGTGAACATTAAACCAGTTTTCCTACGCAACTACCACGTCATGGGTACTGTGACTTACACTGTGTTGTAGGTTTTCTCGGGAAGTATGCTAATACTCAGAATAATTATTACTGGTAGAAACCTCCTGGTTCCACCAGCCCACAGGGGATTATTCTGTCCGTCCGTCGTGCATTCAAAAATGGGAGGGGTGGGGCTGGGTGGAGAGGGGAAGGTGGGGAGGGGCTGGGTGGGGAGGGTGGGGAGGGGCTGGGTGGGGAGGGGAGGGTGGGGCTGGGTGGGGGGTGGGAGGGGTGGCGCTGGGTGGGGAGGGGCTGGTCACCCCGTGGTGCCCTTATAAAACGCAACGTTTAACCTACTCACGCCGGCCTGTGCCCGCCCTCACAGTCGGCCATATTTACGGAATACACCACGCTGCCGTTGAGTTGACCCTGGCCATTGACCGAGCAACCCAACATTCCTACCAGCTCTCTCCGCAGGAATGTGTTTACTCAAAAAAAAAAGGTCTCGCCGGGTCTTGTGAAGTTTTCAGGAGGGTCAGACTGGAGATGATGAGCTAATTTCCTTTTGGGATAATTGTTTTCACGTGGTCGCTGGTGTGCTTGGAGAAAATTCATGCGCGCGATGATAACACTGAAAGCTGCCGCGCAGTTCACGTTAATGAAATATAAACCTCTTCTTGGTTATTTCGGTAAAGTCACGTAGAAGGGAAATAATAAAATAATAAAACATAATAAAATACAATTCTCACGACGTTTCGGCCACAACGCAAGCAGCCGTCCTCAGGTGAAGAACAGGTCTGTCGGAAAGACCTACTTGCTGAACTGCCTCCTACAGCCAGCACTGTGTTACGTCTCAGGAGGTGTGATGGACACACTACGGGCCAAAACTTGATGATCGACCAGGCCTGCCTTAAAGTTTGCATCCCTCCGCACAAGTGACACTCGTGGTGACTGAATCGTCCTCAGTTTGGCTTTCGCTTTCCTAAGCAAAAAACCAATAAAGATGCTCATAATAAAGAGAGTTCCAACCTATGTATGTTGAACTTCTTTCGCACCGTACATAGCCAACCGTGCTAATCGGAGGTACGGGGGAAGGACAACAATTCGTTTTCAATCTAGATGTAAAAGTGCATAGCTCCCCAGTTGGCTTCCTAATAGTATAGGAGGGGTAGTGGCATTGGTAGTGGCATTGGCAGGTGCGAACCTGACATGCACTCTATAGGAAGCACCGCATGGCAGATCAGACTTGTGGTGGGGGTGCAGTGAAGGAGCTGGGGTGAAGATCCAGCTGTCAACTTGGAGGGCACTCTTAATGGCACACACGCTGCGTCGATGTCACTTTGTGGAGCCGTTTGCTGTTATTTTGCTTTAAAAGTTAAAGCTGCATCTATCAAATGAGTGTTTGAATTTAATAGTGTGTTAACGTAGCTTCCACAATCTGTTCCGTACCGATTTTGCCGTCTGCCGTGCTCCCAATGGTTGCGAGTTTGCTCTCAAAGTTCTGGATTCCAGTGAGCCGAGAAAGTTGGGATGTTTATAATGTGTTGGCAAAAATCTTTTCTGGGAGCCCTGGTTTGCAGAATTTAAAGTTTTAATCACCCTATGTGCTTCACATCCAGCCAGCCTCTGCGTTAATGTGGCCATGCTTTTAAAGAATGTGCCAGTTTTACACACTTTGCAGTAATTAACGTTCTTTCCTCTGTAATTCCACATTTGTACATTTTCCTTGCTGTGCAACCTTGGCATCACTTCAGTTTATTTTGATAATTGCATTTTATGTACCTCTGTTTAACCAAGGCTAAGAGAACATGGCTTCCATATCAATTTTGCAAAGCACATATGGATATTTATCATATTTTTGTTGTAATTGAAAGCATTTTTTATTGTGTATCTACTATTGATGAGATAACTTTGAATGGTTCAATGACCAAATTCCCTATTCTTATAAATTATATATCTGGGTCTGTAAACACGACCCTAAATCGATGCAGTACTTTAGTAAATAATAACGTATATATATTCTTGGTTCTTTCGGTAAAGTCACATATTATTTGATTATTTCCCTTCTACGTGACTTTACCAAAAGAACCAAGAATATGAATCCCTGCAGTCACGAAAGCTTTAAATCAAAATTTAATACCGTATATATTTATAATACAATTGATTATTGTACTCGTGACTTTGCATACAATCATTCGTATTACACATTATTTTATGATCGTATGTGTTATGTTCATTTGGTTCACATATTCCCACATAAAGACGGTCACTGCATCGCGTGCTTTTAGATGCGGCTCTGCGGCCGTCTGGAACGCTCTTCCTTCCAATATTAAGAATCCACTGGAGCTCTGCACTTTTAAACCTAGACTGAAAACGAATTTCTTTGGAACTACATTTTTGTGTTTAGTTTGTTGTCCTTCCCCCGCAACTCTGATGAGCGCGGTTGGCCATGTACGGTGCGAAATACATTCAACATACATACATACAGAAACAATCGGATGGGGAAAAAAAGATCCTCAGCACTGGATCAGAAACATTTTTACCCGAATGAAATTTCGGCAGAGGAATCACACGGCCGGGGGGCTACCCACCTCCCCCTGCCATCCCTGCGAGAAGATGGGAGGGGCGGCATTATCAAATTATGATATATTTCTGGGTACCCAGCATAGGGACGCAGCTCACATGCACCTCAACTGGAGGTATCAACAAGCACCGCATTGACCATAATCGACGCTGGAACCGAATCACGCCACTTAAACCGTGCCAATTAATTGAATCACAAGGGTGATGAATCATTTACCTGCCTACTATCTAAAAAGTAAAAAAAAAAGAAACGATCATTGCGATATACTGGGGGCTACCACTACCACACGCACCGTCTTTATGGGGGTGGTGCTTCGTTTAGGATGACCACCGATTCTGTGTTAAGCGGCACAGTGGACATCTGAGCGACTGCTGGGTTGCCAGGCAGAAGCCATCCTCCCTTAGGGTACACGTCAGATGTAAAAGTTCCGGTTTAGTTTGAAGGTGTGGGGGGGGGGGGGGGTCCACACGGTGGGAATTGCTCCAAGGCCCCTGCACCTCCCAGCGATGTACTGTCCTGAACTTCGAACTGAACTTCTTTCACACCGTACATAGCCAACCGGGCTGCTTACCAGATCACCTAAACAAAAAAAAAGCTGATATCATCATCATCGAATAAAAACCAAAAATCTGAAACGTCCGGAGAATACGGGGGGAGGGAACAAACCGTTTTGGCTGCTTGGCAGCGGAGGAGGCATGTGTCTTGCTGCCCCGGGGGTCCTGTTCGCCCGTGAAGATCCGCAGGATGCCCCACCCGCACGACACGTTGGGATTGGCGCGGTCGCTCCTCTGCTGCGGTGACAGGCACACCACCTCCAACACCAGCACAATGGCCGGGTGGCACAGCGATGTGTTGAAGTACACCGGCTGCGACACGCAAGTGGGTGTTGTCGGGGCAATGGAGACAGGAAGGAGGTGAGGGGCAGCGGGACACGGTGGGAGGTTGTGCGGAACGATCGTTACGGAGAGATTGCCAGGGTAAAAAAACAATCGCTTATTTTATTTGTTATTGTAAAGCAAGTTGAATGAGCATTTAAGAAAACAATGTTTAAAGAGTTAGCCTCACAGCGTCCATTTTGACATGGAATAGTGTAAATCAATGTAATGGCAAACATTTTCGTCATGTTCTTAAAATGGGTTGAAGAATCTGGTTTTACATTGAGGGTTTAGTGATATTGTTTGCATTAAACTGGTTGATTTCCCGTCAAGTAATGAGAGCTACTGTTAAATTTAGCATCTACTACCACAAGCAATGATAACAAATGTATTCTCTTTAAAAGCACGAAAGACAAGCCCCACTGCATAAACATACACTCAACTCGCCTTTTGCCCGTCCAAGGATGGGTGTATTTCAGTAAATCTGAAACTTGCAAGCGTAAAGCAGACCGTGACATGATATTCATTGCATCAATGCATGTGCAATTTGTAAGGGCGCGGTGACACAGACCTATTTCATTTAAAGGTTATAATCCCTTGTTCATCACGACGTCCTTTTTACTTTTATGTCTCAACAGCGTTACGGAGATCACGTGACGTGAGGGTTCTGCCTTTGTAGTGAGGGTTGTGAGTTGACGCTGAAGAGGGGAGAGGAGGTGCCTCACCCCCCCATGTGGAGTGACGTCACCCACTAATTTATATTAATCGGGGGGGGGGGGGGTCCATTTGGAAGACGTCATCTCTTCATGATTATTAATGAGGGGGGCTGTTCGATGGTGGAGTGATGTCACCTGCTCATGATTATTAATGAGGGGGGGGGTGCTACACGTGGAGTAATGTCACCCACTCATGATTATTAATGAGGGGGGGATCCATGTGGAGGACGTCACCTGTTCATGATTATTAATCAGGGGGGCTGGCCGACGTGGAGTGAGGTCATGCATGGGACACAGATATTCTTGGCTCATTATAGTAGTAAATGATCATCGTACGCAGTTTATATTCAGTTAACGCAACCTACCGTCTTAACATTACAACCTTAGGCATGTTAAGAAGGCTAGGCAAGTTAAACAGGTTTAACAAAGTTTTAATCACTAAAACTAAAATTACCACATACTCCTGGCCTTCTAAATTGTATTGTAAACAAGTTCAGATAAAGGGCCCAAGCAATATGCTCGGAATTTATTACACATCTTCAGAGGCGTCGGAGGCGTCGCGAACCGCTTTCAAGTGTTGTTGTGTTGCCATCGGAGCAATGTTTGAACAAAAATCTAACGCAATGTCAACCGAACGAAGTGCCCCGGGGCCCTTAGTAAGGCACACACTGCAATCTGTGGAAAAAAAATAGGTGCCCGAAGTACTTATTGTATGGAGCACTCTAAAGGAGACAGTCACTGGCCGGAGACAGTGTAAGACAACAACAATGTACAGGACAGCACTTTAGATGACCTGTTTAGGACTCAAGGGACCCAACACACTCCAGCTGGCAGGCTGGCAGACAACAAAACACAGTGAAACTGCTCTTAAGAGCTTCTTGAGGTCAATGGACCTTACCCAAAATAAACTGACTGACCGACTTATCTGCAGTCTTATTATCTAGAACTATCATTTGTGCCCCTCCGTTGTTTCACAGGAACGCCTGTTGCCTTGCAGATGCATCATCCTATTACCTGCATGAGCGTGTGGATAAGAAGAAACACCCATAAGAGGATTCCCATTACGGGGAAAACGCTATCCTTTTAATCGGCTTTTTTTCTTCTGAATAAGGCAAATTTATGAATTTATCACCATGATCTGACTTTCTACACGGATAACAGCCACCCAGAAGCAGTCTCACAGAAGCGCTGTATTTGTCCTATTATCCATGTATTTTCAGACAGAAGATGAGTCATCTGGAAGTGGCGACACAATCATCCTATTATCTGCGTTTATCTCTGGGTAACCAATGAGACAGATGTCACGAGTTATTTTTGCGGAAGGAGCGGATAATAGGATCCGCCAATAGCATTGCCCACGAATATCAACATGGATGGGGGTTCACTGTATCTGCAAGGGCGAAAATGGTTTGTATATGTCTGCAGAAATGGCAGAGTGTATGTCTGATCCCAGGCAGGTGCTTCCTCTCCCTAAAGATTTTGAGCAAACGCATTGCCACAACTTTAAAAAAAGAGTCCTCCTTTAAATGGTTCCATGTCCATGCGTTTCTCGGTAGCCTAGCGAATACCATAAATGCATTTATTGCTTACAAATGTACAGAGATATCAGAAACGAGCAGCTGGCCGACAAACTAGGGAGTCATGAAGTCAGTCGTGTCAATGCCACCCTCCCAGTCTCACACAGCAACGATGCAATACTTTGTGCACTGCACATCCGCCCCTCGACATATCACTCTCCACCACTGCTCGGTTTAAGAAAGGCTGTGTGTAGAAGGTGAGTTTTAAATAGTCCTCCCATAATGCATGAAGTTGTGTGTTTTGTGAACACGTGCAACATACTGATGAATTTAAAAGGATGAAACCACCCAAAAATATATATTTTTTTCTGGGAGTGGACTCGTCTCATCGTTGCTGTCGTCTCATCGCCGTCGTCGCTAACGTCTCCGCTAGATGTTGCACTACGAAGGAGAGTAGTTGGCTATCTCAGTCAGCGCCGTCAGTGTTCGACGGCTAGTGTTGTGTACAGGCTAGGTTGAGCTACTGTGGAGAGTGTGCAGACGAGACCGTGAAAGTTATTAATAAAGAAAGTGCCTCCTAGAAACTCTGTCTCTGAATCGTTGACACTACACATGTAAGAAGGCCGTTCAATGAAGTGAAAAAAATATTTCTCAAACCTGTTCATTGACAGAGCAATGTGATGCTCTGCCAGAGTTCCCAGAGGAAGTTTCTTCATCGCTTTACATCACTCTCATAGCACAACTATCGGTTAATTGGTAACAGATTCATCCAAAGGACAAAAATTGGGATTTGCTACCAAAACTTTTGCTGTTGCAGCCCCCACTGTTAGGAATCCCCCCGTGTCCTCCTCACTCAATTTGAAGAATTTACTGCTTGATGCCAACTACAGCCACATTTGCAACACCCTGCGAGTATGATTTGCCAACTGTGAATTTGACGGTATTTTTCCTTTTTACTGCCGCTGTTATTCGTATATATAATGCACAATTGCTTCAATTATCCATATATTTAACTTTCCCCTGCAAGTTCCACCATTGACTAACCCAAAAGTCGAGTCGGAGCGTCATAGCTCATTGGGTAATTTCCGGCTTAAATCAAAAGTGAAGGTCGATGTCTCATCTAAACAGTGAATGGGAGATAATGGAAGGTGACATCTCGAACGATGAATGGTGGAGGTGAAGATTTAAGAGTGTGCCATGAAACTGCTCCATCAGACGCAAGGGTGTTTCATTTCAGAGGTGCTATCAAAATCGCCGCTCTAGAGCATCTAAGTGCCAAAATTAAGGGGCAGAGAGGAGGCTTACCACCGAACATGGAATCCTTTCACTACCTCTCCTCCAGTGGGCATTGCCTCCTAAGAGCATTCATGAGGTCATTTAGGCACTTCCCCCCCCTCCCTTTTTTCCTTCTCCTACAGGGGTATCAGAGCTTAGGGAGCCACTCAGGGTTGTAGAGTTTATTGAAACATGCGGTTTAAGACAGGTTTCCATTGCACGGTAATCCGTAATGTGTGTTTGCGCTGGTGGTCAAACCCCTTTCATACCCTGTGTGTTGTGTACTGGATATCGTCTTGTTGCTAAAATTACACGACCGACTGTACTTTGAGTTGTTACATCGGGGAGACGAAACGACATATTTCTGATCACATTCGCAAGCACAAGTTGCATCTGAAACATGGCAGGACGGATTATTCGGCTGTTGCCAACCACTGCTATAATGCTGCTGGTTCTCATGACATTGTGTTCTCCGATACCAAGGTGCTCTGCAAGCCTCCTGGGTACTACCAAAGATTTGTCCATGAAGCCATCCAGATATACAAACGTAGACATAACTTCAACCGAGATGATGGATTAAAATTGAGCAATCATTGGAAAGATGTAATTAACCGGGCAGTTTACTGCTAGACAGCCGGTTTAAATGTATTTTCATAAACATACCCATATTCCCAGTCTTTTACCCCCAGTTTTACACACGACCATCGCCATGGTAGTGTGTACCACAAGTTATTTTTTATCTTGCACATTTCAGTTTGAACTCCATACGTTGTTAGCCTGCGCGTTTCTAACTTACCCACCTGGCAGCATAACAAAATGCAGCTTAATCCTAGCTTGCTTATCTACTTCCGCCATCTACATCACAAAGCCCCAGTTCCGGCCCAAGTCGTTGCCTCCCAGCGCTCCCTCGGCTTCCCAACTTTACCTCCCAGCACACAGCCATCTCTGAGACACACTTAAGCGTTTGTGTTCTCGCTACGTTGTCCCCACTTGAAGAAGGACGCTTGTGTTGCGCCCGAAACGTCGTGTTTCAATTTAGTTTAATTTATTTTATTTATTTTTTACCTCGTGACTTTACCGAAAAAAACAAAGAGTATGAATCCTTGCAGTCACGAAAGCTTCAAATCTAGAATTTGTGATATTTCCACACTCGGCCATGGCAACGTGACACTGCACAGTGACTACAATGCAAAAATTACAACAAAAATACCTAACCATACCCAATTAATGTAATCGTGTATTGTGTGTGTATCATTATTTTTTTCCCCTTCATTAGCATCATTTTCAAATTCTAATCGGAAACTTTCAATGACCTTGCCATTTGTCTCCCGTGGGCAACAGTTAACGTACTTGGTTGGTAAATCGAAAAAAAAGCCATCACCACCAACGGTCAGACACTTTAGAATTCGTGACACCTTCGATTACAATTCTTGCATTTAGATGTGCAAGATACAGGCATATATGTTGCAGATGCAGCATACAAGGGCTTTTTTTTAAAGACCTAATTAAACACTTCGATGCGCATGCAAAGATGCAATTAGAGCCCGCAGCGGAGCCTATAAACATGGCGAAAATAACATATTGATTAAACCATTACATTAAACCGCGTTAGGCACGGGGGTAGGCTTTGAATGCAAAAGCAAGAGTGTTTGGATATTACTCTCGGTATTGAACGAGCATGGCTCCGTTGAGGCCTTCTGACGCTTTCACAAAAGAAAGCAAAACACCGCAGAGCACAATGAAACTCTTCGTCAGCGACGGCCGACGTTCGCATTGTTCCGACGTTCATCCGCTGCCGTACGACCGACAACGCTCGCGAGGACGATCGTTGAGAGTGACGCGGCGGGCAAGGTGAGGTTACGGCGAGCGCACTTAATGGTGCCCCAGGCACGTCGATGCGCTGGTTAAGGAAAGCGAGCGTTGACTGCTGGCAAAAGCATCAAATGACCCAGGCGGGGGGTAAGGCACAGGCACGGTTAATAATAACAACAACCAAAAAAGACTGCATCCAATGATAAGAAACATGATGGTGTGATTACGTTCAAATTACCTCAATTCGATAAGGGTTGGAATGCGCCACTTTAAATAGTACCAGGTAAGGCCCTTTAAATTGTACGAAAGGTACTCGACATAAATTCCGAAAATGTTTCTCTATCTCACCAAGCTCTTGTATCAACGAGTAGAAATTACACAGTACCGAAGGTAATCGTTTTTTGTAGGGCAGCGTGGAATATTTCTCCCACTATTGAACAGTTTTAAATGAGCCACGTTATTTTAGCTTATTACATTCTGGAGTGCTTTCACTGGAAATCTAAGAATCGCAAATGTTTCATCTTATAAAGTTTGGCTATTTAAAATACAGACCTCATTAAATAAAGGCGATGTATAATAAGTTTCTAGTTTCATGCAACTACACGGCACCACGTAAGCAAATAAAATAATGAATACATCGGTTTCCATAAAATAACCACTGCATTGTGCGTATTCCTTCTGAATACTATTTAGCTCACATTGTAAGCCACCTGTTACAGGTGATTGGGTGATTCTGTGTTGGCAGTGGCTTTAAAACAAAGGCTATTGCCTGGAAACGTCGCCTTTGAAATGTTTATGTTTTTCTTTTATGGCCACAGTGTAATTGACGCATGTGTTAAGGCTTTCTGTTGCAGGTGGCTCGCACACGACATCACCATGCAAGACATCCTTGGCTCTTACACGGGAGCAAATGGCAACCGCCAAGTTCATTAAATGTTTATGAGCGTAGGCTGACAAATTATTTATTTCGTTATTTAAACAGATGTACCGTCAATGTTGAATTGCAAGGAATATTAGTATAATTTTTCCTCATCGAATTTTTCTCATTCTAAATCGGATCAGCTAGCGATTTAATATTTTGGCAGTTCTAAGAAGAAGTCTGGAGCATTGAATAGACATTAAAGATGATAGCAACAAGGCTTTCGAGCAGCAAAACACACTCGTGGTACAATAAAATGTATTTGCCGAAGATGAACCCTCAAGACTGAATCTCAATGGATCTCAGTCCCACATTAACGAATAATAACATGAAGATAAAATTGCGGGTACGGAACGAATATGTACGCCTTCGCAATATGCCTTTAACCTTGGAAGTTATTTAATTTGACACTTCATCATCATCCCCCAACTAACGATAGAGGCCATGGCGAACAACAAATGGCGAGGCAGTCCTTTTAGCACTGTTTTTGTCTCCAAGTTGCGTGAAAAATGTGCTTACCTGCCCCTACTGGACATCTGTAAAAAAAAAAACCTTCATAGCTCATGGGATTTCTCCAGGAAAAATATTCCGATTCATTTTTCTGGTTTCATATAGTATGAGTCCCGAATAGCAAACCAACTTGATACTAACGTTTGTTTCATTTTATAATAAAAAGGGGTTCAGATTTGGTGCGGTTTTTTCTGCACTGCGCAAGTGATATGTGATCCAGTTCTGAGCCACCCTTCACCAACCCACACTAACCAGCGTGGTGAAGTATGGTCAAACACGTCCCATAACTGGCCTGGCCTGGCGAGACCTTCATCCATTGGTTAATTGACAAAAGGCTGTAAAAAAAAAATGATGATAACTAGTAAGAGCCATGCATTGGCACTAGCTGCGTAAGTCAAACCAAAACACATTATTGTGACACACGCATTTCATACGGCCAATGCTGCATGGTATCCCGTAAAACCACAACAAAGCCTAAATATTCAAAGCATGCTATGTCACCGAAGGCAGGCTTTCTGCAGCGAGTACAAACATATTATTAATTCACATCCAGAGGATGCGTTTACGAATTTTCTATCAAGTAAAAATCAATTAAGCTTCAATCAGATCTTTGCTGCCGCCCGCTTGGGGGCCTTGACGTGAGCCGACGTACCACGTTGAAGGACACGGAGTGTGACTTGCCGGGGCTGCCGCCGTCGGTGGCCGCTGCCTTCGGCTGGCTCATCCACGTGCACCCAAAGAATTTACGGAACACCAGGTCAAAGAAGGTGAGGCGCAGCTGGTACCGCAGGTCCGGCGACGCCTGCGCAAAGGGAACAAAGCAAAAGCAGCAAGTCACGCGGAATCTCAAACGACCTAATTTTGCATCAATTCATTACATCACACTCCCATTTGAAAATTGCCAAGCGGAACCCTGTGAACTCAGTGTGTTTCCAGGCCATGGGTTGGAATGAGTGGCGAGTGATAACCAAACTGTTCCCAGGCATCTCGCCACTGGGCTGGAATAGTGGCGAGATGTTAACTGCCTCCCCTGGTATAAAGGATCTCATGGGTTTGATCCAGACCCTGATTCCTGTAAATTTGGAGTTTGCACATTCTCCCCGTGGTCACATGGATTTTTTTTCTCCGGGTCCTCCGGTTTTTCCCTCCACATTTATAAGCATGTGTTTAGAATATTTGACTGGTATAAATTTCCACATGGTAAACCACTTCGTTGACCTTTCATTTGTGCCCAGGTCACTTCTGCAAAATAACTATATAGCTCAGTGGGCCTTACCTGGTAAAATAAAAAATAGTTGATAGTTTATTCATAGTTCTACATATCCGCATCTACCAGCATAATTGCCACAGGCATGAGGAAGGCTTCATCCAGTGGTGGATTGACAAGGGCTGTAATTTATTATTTATAAATCAATATTATTATTTTGTAAATGCCAATAACAGCAGGTCTAACGGGTCATAAGGTCTGTAAAAGTGATTCAAAATGTGTCCACACGCTTCAGTTTCTCTTCTTGGGTCATTGAAAAATCAATAGGCCAATGTTACATTGGAAATATCCACAACTCTTCCAAGCTGTGTTATACTAGGGAAGGCTGTCTGGAATTGATGACCTCCAAAAAGAAAAAAATGCAGGATATTGAGTGAATGATTTGGATATCCATGTGTGTTACACCAAGGAGAACGGAATGGATAAAAAAATCAGACCTTATTAATCCCGACGTACAAGTTGTAGTCGTTCCAGCTTATCAGGAATGTAGTGAGTTGGAAAAGATCACATGGTAATTTGCATTTGACGCTCCAACATTTAAATTTCTAAAATAATCAGCAATCACAGGAATACCCAGAAGACATTTTCTGTGCTCAAATGCATAAATATAGAGCTTTACATGGTTTGGTCCATATGTATTTGACACCAAATATTAGGTCCGCTTTGAAGCCAAAATAGTTTTTGGACTAAACGCAATCTCCCGAGCGTGAAGTTTCCTAGAGCTTGCACATGGTTAACATGGATAGACTTAACCACACTCACTCAATCAGCTCTGGTAGATAGCTGAAAATTAAGTTTCCCATAGAGTATCTCTATCAATCAACATTCCTTCACTTGACATGAACGATTATTTTAAATATGTATTATTACTCTCATTTAATTGCTGTTGATAAATGTTGCCTTCATATTTAAAGCGGAGTGTCACACGTCTTTTGAACTTTTATAATGGTTACATATTCTTGGGTTTTTTCGGTAAAGTCACGTAGGTAAAAAATTTAAATTAATAAAAGCAAAATGAAAATGAAATAAAAATCACGACGTTTCGGAGGCAACACAAGCCTCCGTCTTCAGGTGGAACCGTCACAGCACGCTCGCTGTTTTAAGTAAATGAAAAATTCCAAGAGATCCGACCCCGTATATATACTGGTTTAGGGGGGGAGGAGCCAGGGCAGGCCCCTGGATAGGAGTTTTTTTATTATTATGGTAAAGTTATGTAGACTAGCCGTAGCTTCAGCCGCACCAACCTTACCATAATAATAAAAAACTCCTATCCAGGGGCCTGCCCTGGCTCCTCCCCCCCTAAACCAGTATATATACGGGGTCGGATCTCTTGGAATTTCTCATTTACTTGATACAGCGAGCGTGCTGTGACGGTTCCACCTGAAGACGGAGGCTTGTGTTGCCACCGAAACGTCGTGATTTTTATTTTATTTTTGTTTGACTTTTATTAATTTTTATTTTATCTACGTGACTTTACCGGAAAAACCCAAGAATATGAATCCTTGCAGTTACGAAAGCTTCAAATCTAGAATTTTATAATGGTTGTTTAGAACTGCTCTTTGTGTTAAGTTTGTTGTCCTTCACCCGCACCTCCAATTAGCAAAGCTGGCTACGTACATGTGGTGCAAAAGAAGTTCAACATGCACATACACATCTGGCATTTAATTTCACACTTTAGAGTATATTTTACAGAACTGACCGTACATACGTTTAGAGTTTGTGCGGTCACGTAAGGATTGAGTGGTGTGTGGGGGGGGGCAAAAAAGGCGGAAGAGGGAAAACAACACTGGCACGAAAGAGGAGAGGGTATGCGGAGGGCGTGGTGCTCTGGAGAAGAGGCTGGTCATCATCAACCGTGTACATGCGCGACAGGTTGGAGTTGCTGGAACAATATAGTCCCCTTGGCAGGATGATCGTGTGGACTCCCTTTCACACACATGCACGTGGGCCTGAATAGCCAGCCTAGTTACAACCAGCTTCAGAGAAACAGATGCAAGTGATATGGTCATTTGAGCTTGTGATTTCTGAACAGGTTCATTGGGGCCTGGGGAGTGCTGGCTAAATGCGAGTCGCACTTATGCTCTCTAAAGTCGAACACCATCTGATATTGAACACTCAAAGAGTAGAGGTGTTCACTTGTTAGACAGTAACTTGAATGTACTCAAGAGCAAAGAGTTCAAAGTTGAAACTTGGATAATGTTAATTATAAATTGCATTCTCATAGCTTCAGCAATTGGAGACTATTATCAAGTCATAATACAATCGGAATATAGTTGTCACTGAAGGCAAATGAAAACCTTGACATTTCAATTGGTTAGTTTGTTCGAAAAACTATTCAGAATCTGAATTTGTATTCATCCTGGAGAAATCTGATGAGCTATGAAGCTCTTTTTCACAGATGTCTACAGATAGCTGTTGCCAATGCGATGACAACAATTGCAATGGAAAAGCATCTAAATACACTTTCAAGATGCTTTAGAAAAAAAAAACGACATTCTTTAGAACGGGATTGCAGTGGTGGGGAAGGGGGGAGAGAGGAGAGGACAACACTGTAGCACAGCCTGTGAACAAAGCAACAAGGACCCACTCAGCACCAACTACACCAACGAGCCACAGCCAGTGCAGCCAGGGCATTCCGGGCAGCCAGGGCAGCACAACAAGATAATGGGAAATTTAACACGTAGGAATTCGCACCTATATTAGAACTCGCGATTGATTTTTGGGTCAGATCGTGCGAGTAAAAACCCTCCACCACCCGACACAACCGATTAAATAAACAGTAACTGCAAGCAGAACATCGAAGGAAACTGTGAGAGGTTCACGTTGTTGCTCACAACAATTATGAACTTCTCACAATTATCGTAAACTTCTCACAATTATCGTGAACTTCTCCCCAACACGCCAGTGGCACGTTTGTTTACGTGACGACGTGATTGATCGGCTGTATCGGGTAAAGAAAGGTTTACGACGCACATTTTTACTTAAACTATCCGACCCCCAAAAATATATATTACAAAACAATGGTAAGTTTCAATAGTATGAGATGAGGGGCAACAGAGTTTCACTGGCATTCCTTGCAAGTGAGAGACGAATACTGGAAGCGAGACACCGCTATTAACCACAATCGCGAGGTATTGGTGTTCAAATTTGCAGACGAGCCGATAGCATCTCCCACGTGTTAAACGGTCTGACCATATCACCGATGCGCGCGCCCGCGTACAAAACGTCCCAGGTGTACCTGCTGCATCCCATGCGGTAGCCTAATTCCCTGCAGCTCGCCGAAAGCGAGGCGACACACCGAACACCTGCCGCCAAACATGAGCTGGCTCCTGGACGTCGGCGGGGGCACCAGCCTCCTCTGCGAGTTCGTCCGTACAAACCTCCTCAGCCACGGTCCTTGCGTGGCCCCTGTCGCCAAAGTGCCCTCCTCATCCTCATCGGAGGCCTGCGCGAGGCGCAAGCGGGCGAACGAGCGGCCGCTGGCGCCCGCCGAGAACGCCGTGAACAACGTCTCGTCCATGGCCGCCTGGGCTCTGTTGCGGCCGCCGCGAAGGGGCCAAGGCTTTCGAAGAGAACCGCTCGCGCCGGCGCGGTTGCTTCCGAATGCGTAGGGGTCAAGTCCAAGGTTCTTCTGCTTAAACAACACGATAGAGTTTGGATCTATTTGGCGTCTAAATACAACCGCGACCTCGCAACGCCGATTGTCTCCGTCGATCCCCTGGACTCCGGTGTCTGATGCCTCACTTCATCGCTAGCTCCGTGTTCTTTTCTGTTAAGTCCACAGTTGCTTTCGATAAGATAACGCAGCAAAACATTTGGCTGTTACCGTAAAGGCGTGTGCAAGTTCTTGCAAGACAATTCACATTACCTGTCACGTATGGCCAGAGACGCTAGCAACATCAAGCTTACTCGTAAAGTAGTTACACACACGCACGACAGTAACAGCGGCCGGCTCACAAAGTCAACAAAACTTGCTCCACTTCACACATTCATTGTAAAACCGCAGCGGGTCACTTGAAAGGAGACACTTCCCGACAAGCCAGAGAAAGAAACGGCGATACTGGCAGCGGCTAAAGTTTCCTTGGCTGCAAAGTGCCCTAACAGCTGCAAGCAACAACAGGATTTTAAATCGCCAAGAATGTAGGACAGTAATTCCGTGCTAAATCCTTGTAGGTATTAGCGAGATTCTGGACAGGCTCCACCCCATAAACCACTCCACGCATGGTGACTTGTCTGGGCAGACACCCTCCCCCCACTTGCTCCAAGCAAAGCTCCCCGGTAGCCCGACAGGGCAAACATAAACAAGACGCCACTGCCAGCGTCAAGCACAGACGCGCATGCTTAGGCCCATTCAAATGCGGCTCAGTGGCCCAATGTCATCTATTTGAAATGTCAGGGTGGAGAAAAGGGATCTCTGGTGTTATATGACCTGACGAAGCCTTAAGGAGGAAGGTGGAGTTACATCCACAGGCTTTAAATGCGCTCGACGATTGCGGAAGTTTGCAGCACTTTTTCGGCTGGTGATAATGGTTAAAAAAATGATGTTAAAATTAATCAAATGAGGGAAACTGCGTGTTAAGATGTGCAAGTAAATGCGAATGCATTAGTATCGGCTATCAAGTTTAAAATTACCCATACAATTGAAATTACATTCTTGTTTTTTTGAGTAAGTAAAACTCAGTTTTCTACAGCCCAAATTATACAAGGCCTCACAGCGTTTGATAACATAATCTCAGTAAAAAAAACACCTTAATATTAAAACCAAAAGTAAAACAAACGTACACAGACGGATATGCAAAGAAAATAAATGTGTTTTCAGACGAGCCTTAAGAAGTTGAGTGTCCCTCACGGACTGGGGCAAGGCATTCCAGAAATTAGAAACTGGAACTGTGAAGTTAACGTTATACACAATGCTAGCTAATGAGCATTACTTCAGGTGAAAGCAGGCCATGATAAATAAAAACGCGTCAACATTTCAGAAACGTAATATACAGTAAAGATGAGAAATGCTGCGGGGAAAGGATTTCTTTTAAACATGCTGATGATCAACAAAGTGACATTACGCAAATGATTGCGAGTAAGACACGATTGAAAAAATATACTTAAAAAAACGAGGTAAACACACACGACCGTGTTACAAAAGGCTTTGAAACCCTGTGTACACCACACTGCATTATGCGTGCACTTTTCCAATTTTTAAAAATTACGCTTTTATATATTTAAATAAAAACCCTAGAGGTTATATCAAGGCGTACAGAACTGCACCTGAATATCGCATCTTTTTTTTACCGTATTCATGAATTATTCACTCTGGAAGCTAGGGCTTACAAAATAAATATATATTAAACAAAAAGAGCATCGCCACTTAAAATCCACACCCGCCGCTTTTTTTTATTATAACGTCCTGCGCTGGCAGCGGTACACTTAAAGTGGTCACCATGACTACGCAACAACTCAAATATGATTTATTGTGCACGCGAGAGGCCTCCACCCTTTTATGTTATGTGAACTGTTTATTTTGGCCATTAACGGGGGGGGGACGGGGGGAAAGAGGTCGTTGAGAAACAGAAGCTCAATGCATCGAGAGCTTTGGCCGAATCTGGCGCTTGCAAGCGAGAAGGCGGTAGTGGTGGGGGCGCCTTTGATGTCAAAATATAAACACATTGATGCCGACAAACGTAACTAGGGGCCGTCCATAAATGACGTCACGCACCTAGGAGGGGGGGGGGCGTCAGACAATTGTGACGATGTGACGAGGGTGGGGGGGGGGTGAGAAATGTGACGTCACATCAAAATGCGCAACTTTAAATATATATAGCCAACACGTTCTACTTAATTCAATAGACTTTTTAATAAATGTGTTCTCCTACAACATCAGAGTGCAGCGCCACATTTAATACGCTCTATAATGACAACAGTTTAAAGCGATTTGAAGCATGTTTTATTTTGGGGGGGGGGGGGGGGCAGAGCTTTGTGACGTCATATTTGAGGGGGGGGGTCTGACTTTTTGTGACGCCGTGTGACGATGGGGGAGGGTAAAAAATGGTCCAAAATCGCGTGACGTCATTTATGGACGGCCCCTTACGGCGTTTGATTGACTAATTAAACTGATCAAATGTTTGTTTCTCTGCGGGGGGGAGGGGGGGGCGAGAAGTTAATTAATGTTATCAAGCACCGCTTCTCACCACTAAATGACAGTGTCACATAAAATGTACATTATGCATGCTACCTGTGGCATCTATTTCGCGGCGTCGTAGAACAGCTTCGGGAAAGACACGAAATAGAATGTACAAATTTCGATTTAAAGCTTTCGTGACTGCAGGGATTCATCTTCTTGGTTCTTTCGGTACCAGAAGAAGAATGTACAAACTTAAAATCAATCGAATTTTGAATCCTTGTCAATACATCACCGATACAGTTGAAACAAATAGTTGGTATAAGTTAATGAGCATTTATTCACCAGAGTACATTTAAGTTTCTGTGCACATGAACTGTTCTGCCCCACGGCAGATATGGGGTGTGTTTCCACACCAGGCGGGGGTGTCAGCCATTACAGAGTACAAGATGGAGGCACAATTAGCATCTGTGAAGACGGGTGCATCTGTTTATTTCGGGACTTTAAGAAGCATTGTCTGTAAGTTAATGTTCTTATAATACTGGGAATGCCGCTATAATGCTGTAAAATGCCTTTATAATGCTGTTAAATTGTTATGATGAATATGGGGCCTAGTTAACAACGAAGCCTGCCACTTGCATTATTGTGAATGTTATTTGTAGTTGGATAAGTCGAGCCAGACGCGTGCCCATGTAACTTTGATGAGTTCTTGAGAGCAAGGATGGAGAGGTATCTCATCCAGTTCGGTGTTATATGCAGCAGTGTACATTGAGGCTGCAGTATGGTGATTACACAAAGTGACCTTATTTAACACAGTATCTTATTCTCTTGTTGTACAGCTATTCAGTGCTAATGTAGGTGCCTGGTCCATCCAGGACCTATTGTTGAGTTTCATATTATGATGCTGCAGCATTCATTCATTGTATTGATATTGCAAGTATTAACACATGTTTTTCCATCAGTTTTACCTCGTTTCATTCATTAAATATGTTGGAGTCGGATGTTCACCCTGACTCTGAAGGTTTATTGAATGCGAGGTTAACTAATCGGATAGTGGTGCAACGCAGCGCACAGCGAGGCCGAGACATGAACCATCCTAGACACGGAACTTTCTGACCCCCTCTCTCTACAACAGCAGCTTCGTATATGGGGTGGTGCCTTACCTAGCTAACAAGCGCCATGACCTCGCCAACTTCGCCTGTGCTCAGACGAAGATGGCGGTGTACAGAACGAGAAAAAAGATGCTGGAAGGTGATACTGACGGCTGCTCTGTGCTTCCAGTGTTCAGAGGCCTGCTCAAGGCGCGGCTCCGGCTGGAGCACGCATACCACACACGTCGGTGATCTGCACGTCTTCTTCGAACGCTGGGGAGCCGGAAAAGCCCTCTGTATCAGCGTGGATGGCACCCTCGTGTTCACCTTCTGAAGCGCTCGCTCGTCACCTTGGCGTGCGTGATGATCACCACAACCACGTAACTTTTCTTTCGTGTTGTGCGCGGTGCTTTTAGCGCTACAGCGCGTGGATTTGTAGCGTTTCTTTTAATTTGTTTGCTGGTGACTGCATATTTCATATCGAAATCGCCTCCATTGCTGTTGCTGCTGGCGGAAATAAAGGTTGTTTAAAAGTCTCGTATGTACCATGATGGTAGATTAATATCCTCTATTAAAGCAGTAGGTAAACTGTGGTCACTTATTTAATTAACATCGTTGCAGGACCGCTCGAGATGGTGACGGCCCTTGGGAAGGCCTTTATCCAGCAGTGGGCTGACCATGGCTGCTGCTGCTGCTGGTTCATTAAAGTCCACAAAACACCAGGGTTGATTAGCACGGTTGGGCTACGTAATGGCACGCAAAAGCTCAGTTCAACCGTTAAAATTACCAGGAAATAACTGCGAAATGGGCTTGCAAATGCAACGCTGCACTGAACATGCCCAGCCTTGGCTGTTGGGAATGTATGGCGTCGTAACATCCGCTAACACTCACGGGGACAGCGATATCCTCGGTAGGCAAGATCTCCAGCAAAACCATTTGTCCACTCCACTCCGCCCGCTAAAAATTCATCCACCGCTTTTTACCGATGGAATTGACAAAGGATATATCCCCCACCACCCTCAGCGATACAAGACGATCCATCGGGCTGGGCAAGTAGGGCGTCAGCAGACATGCACCAGCGGGGTTTCAGGGAGAACGGCCTCATTAAACAAGGAAGATGAAATCAGAAGAGGTTGTTTGAAGATAAATGAAGGCATACACGCGGGATTGCCACAACCCGATGGTGTATGTCCCTCACCTTCGCGGCCGTGAGACTGTGTGACCGGATGGCTTTGTGCGCGATGTCCCACGGCCACCATCGGATGATTCCAAAAGGCACAAAGCCAATTTTATCGTCCCCAGCGGAATCAACCGTTCAGCGCTTGTTGACGAAAATTTAGTTGTTTTTTGCTTACGATTGTATTACTTAGCTGCTGCCAGAAACAACATGTCCGTTCAAAAATAACAAAAAAATTGGTCTCAAAGAGATTCAAATGAAATGCATTCCAGTTTCCATCTCTTTCTAGCTTTCTCTCGCTGCAGAAAATAACTGAGCCCGTTTGCCCAATCCCCATCAACGAAAGCTGCTCTTCTTCAACTCGTTTTTTTGCGAATTCACCGCCCAACCCATGTAAAAAAAACCGTTAAATTGGCTAATTAAGTCATCAACGAACAATCAAATAGCGATTCAGGCAACGGCACGTGATCGCCATTCAGTTTTGCGGCCACGGAAATTACTAAGCAGGGCAGGCGCACGAGGGGGTCCCTTTGTATCTCAGTGTGGAGGGGGGGGGGTGAGTACGGCGTGCGTGTCGAGGGATTAATTACAAGAGCGCGGCTTCATTTGGCAGAGCAGTCTGGAGGAGTATCCGAGAGATCGTTAAACACGGCGGAAAAGAGCAAGGCACAAGACATCAGCGTGCAGCGCCTCTTTGGGGGGCGGGCCGGGAGGGCGGGCGAGAGGGGGAGGGTGGGAGTGGGCGAGGGTGGGAGTGGGCGGGGGGGAGAGTGGGGGCTGGGGTGGGCGGGGGGGAGGGTGGGGGGTGGGCGGGGGGGAGGGTGGGGGGGGGCGGGGGGGAGGGTGGGGGGTGGGCGGGGGGGGAGGGTGGGGGGTGGGCGGGGGGGAGGGTGGGGGGTGGGCGGGGGGGAGGGTGGGGGGTGGGCGGGGGGGAGGGTGGGGGGTGGGCGGGGGGGAGGGTGGGGGGTGGGCGGGGGGGGAGGGTGGGGGGGTGGGGGGGGGGGAGGGTGGGGGGTGGGCGGGGGGGAGGGTGGGGGGTGGGCGGGGGGGGAGGGTGGGGGGTGGGGGGGGGGAGGGTGGGGGGTGGGGGGGGGGAGGGGGGGGGGTGGGGGGGGGGGAGGGGGGGAGGGGGGGGGGGGGGGGGAGGGGGGGGGGGGGGGGGGACAGGGGGGGGGGGGGGGGGGGGGGGGGGGGGGGGGGGGGGGGGGGGGGGGGGGGGGGGGGGGGGGGGGGGGGGGGGGGGGGGGGGGGGGGGGGGGGGGGGGGGGGGGGGGGGGGGGGGGGGGGGGGGGGGGGGGGGGGGGGGGGGGGGGGGGGGGGGGGGGGGGGGGGGGGGGGGGGGGGGGGGGGGGGGGGGGGGGGGGGGGGGGGGGGGGGGGGGGGGGGGGGGGGGGGGGGGGGGGGGGGGGGGGGGGGGGGGGGGGGGGGGGGGGGGGGGGGGGGGGGGGGGGGGGGGGGGGGGGGGGGGGGGGGGGGGGGGGGGGGGGGGGGGGGGGGGGGGGGGGGGGGGGGGGGGGGGGGGGGGGGGGGGGGGGGGTGGGGGGGGGGGGCAGGGCGGGGGAGGAGAGGGGGGGGGGGGGGTGGTGTGGGCGGGCGGGGGGGGGGGGGGGGGCTGGGGGTGGGGGGGAGGGTGGGGGCGGGGGTGGGGGGGGAGGGTGGGGGGCGGGGGTGGGGGGGAGGGTGGGGGGCGGGGGTGGGGGGGAGGGTGGGGGGCGGGGGTGGGGGGGAGGGTGGGGGGCGGGGGTGGGGGGGAGGGTGGGGGGCGGGGGTGGGGGGGAGGGTGGGGGGCGGGGGTGGGGGGGAGGGTGGGGGGCGGGGGTGGGGGGGAGGGTGGGGGGCGGGGGTGGGGGGGGGAGGGTGGGGGGGAGGGTGGGGGGAGGGTGGGGGGGAGGGTGGGGGCGGGGGTGGGGGGGAGGGTGGGGGCGGGGGTGGGGAGGAAGGTGGGGGTGGGGGTGGGGGGGAGGGTGGGGGCTGGGGTGGGGGGGAGGGTGGGGGCTGGGGTGGGCGGGGGGGAGGGTGGGGGCTGGGGTGGGCGGGGGGGAGGGTCGGGGCTGGGCGGGGGGCAGGGTGGGGTGGAGGGTGAGCGGGGGGAGGGTGGGGAGGGTATATTTGCAGAGAGAGGGGAAGCGAGTCAAACGCTGGCCCCCTTAATGCTGTCTAAATGTCCGAACAAGAAGGGGTTATTCGTGTGGGACGATAGCGTACCACGTGGGTGCCCCACAGAGACGGAATATAACCATCGCCGTGTGTTGCTGCTATTAAGACGGCCACTGCGCTTAAATTCAGAGGCAGCAAATATCATTACCCCCCCGCCCCACAGAGCAAGAGAGCTGCGCGAACCCGCTCTGCCACTCGACATCAGAATCACAATATGTATTTATACTGGAGATTCGAATCCGATGAGCTATAAAGCTCTTTTTCGCATATGTCCAGAGTACAGAGCACACCACTGCGCATCTATGGCAATGAGCCTCCATAGCCATAGGTTATCGGATTTCTCTGCGATAAAGATTCTGATGTGGATCTGCTCGCCACTATGGAACTCACACCCTGCCCTGCGTGTTATTTTTTATATACATGAACCTTATGGCGATACCCCGGCTCTCGCATAATGTCCGTGATGCAGTCATTGTTGGTCTGTCAATGGTCGGCGATGGGGCAATCGACTCATCTCGACGAGCTGTAAAACGATTCACTATTCAGATTTTTAGTTGTTTTTCGGTAGTCACGTAGGTAAAAAAATAAAATTAATAAAAATAAGATAAAATATTTTCTTTTTATTTTACTTTTAATAATTTTAATTGTTTTACCTACGTGACTTTACCGAAAAAACCTAAGAATATGAATCCTTGGAGTCACGAAAGCTTCAAATCTAGAATCACGTATTCAGAGTTGAATTTTTCGATAACAGATTTTTTTGTATGTTAATGTTTGGCGTTTCGACATCACGGAGTGGCACTGATTTCGGATTGATTGGTTGCCCCAGTCGCGGAGTTAAGTAACACCCCTGGGAAAAAACAGTGTCCCAGAAATAAAATATTTAATTGCCTCGGCCAGTTTGTATAATCTGGTACCCCGGGGTACCGCCATAAGGATCATTTATTAAAAACATACAATCGGAAGAACCTTCACAATACAGCTGCGGAGTTGCTGTTGTTTTTTTAACTGCTGGGGGGGGGGGGGGGGCAGTGGTTAACGCACTGCACGATAAACAACCATCGACTTACATTCGATTCGCGGCCGAGGCAAACATGAGTGGTGGGCGGAAAGCTGATCAGTTGCAAATTGTCCCACTTTACCAACTCGCACTGACCACAGCGTGGTTGCAGTTAAGGTGAAGGGAAATTTAAAACACGTTGTTTTTTTTACCACAGCAGTCTCCCCATACACAGAGGCTTTATACTGGTAGGAACCTCCTGGTTACACCAGCCCACAGGGAATTATTGGGTCCGTCCGTCGTGCATCCAAAAATTGGAGGGGTGGGGCTGGGTGGGGAGGGGAGGGTGGGGAGGGGCTGGGTGGGGAGGGGCTGGGTGGGGAGGGTGGGGAGGGGCTGGGCGGGGAGGGTCTTGAGGGGCTGGGTGGGGAGGGTGAGGAGGGTGGGGCTAGGTGGGGGGAGGGGTGGGGCTGGGTGGGGAGGGGCTGGTCACCCCGTGGTGCCCTTATAAAACTCAACGTTAAACCGACTCACGCCGGCTTGTGCCCGCCCTCACAGTCGGCCATATTTGCGGAATACACCACGCCGCCGTTGACCCTGGCCATTGACCGAGCAACCCAACGTTCCTACCAGCTCCCTCCGCAGGAATGTGTTATCCCGGCTCATGGCAACACATCTGAAAGGGCCATCACCCCGTCCACCGATTGTAGCAGCTGTCCTTGTGGGCACAAGGTGGAATAAGCACCAGGGCCTGCAAACGTGACATTAACTGATTTATTTACAACTGCATTTTGTGTTTCGTTTGTTGCTGCCCCCCCCCCCCCCACAGCTCAGATGAACACGGTTGGCTACGTAGAGTGCGAAAGAAGTTCAACATACAGTACATACATTATTATGTCAGTCGGGGGCGGCAATTGCTACGTGTAATTCCAATTGAGTAGTTTGATTAAATCCGGTTAAGTTCAAGGTAAAAAAAAGACATGGCATGGGGATGTCTTCAGCAGTGTATTGATAAAAAGATAATAACAAATATTTATTGGTTTATTTTGTACTAGATCGTGTAGGTATGAGTGCGATTTTTTTTTAAATTAACCCTCTATCACACAGCAGAGCAAACAATATGAAGTTGTCAGGTGGGCTAAACACTATCTATTGTTGTTTTCCAGGACATTATCTGATGGGAGTTTTTAGACCGTTCACTGATACATCGGTCTCTGCTTAACATTGCCTTGAATAAAAATTGTCCACCGATATATCGCGCATAGCCTTGCCTGTGCAAATGACACAATCACTCTTTCCCATCGGAAAACAAGTAACTTAATTACTCACTCCTTTCAGTTTTCCCCTCCCAATGACCCTTAGCAATAAACATTGCACGTCTGATTCTGAACCCACTTTCATAACGCACCACACGCAGAGGGAAAGGGGGGGGCAGAGGCACTTTGCTTTAATGAATAAATCCATAAAGGTTTTTTTTTACGTCTCGCAAAATGACTTGTGTGTGATTTAGAAAAATATGACGTGATTCATCACCGGTTTGTAAACCCGTATCGACCGCACACAACCATTTAAAGTCTTAAACACACACACAATAAACACTGAACACTCTGCATTACTGAAGGACACCTAAAAGTTCTAAGGCTCAAACTTGGTTTATTGTAACCTGCACTCATGATGCTCACAATGCAGTCGATGTAAGCATCACAGAGCGGGTGCACAACCTCAACGGCATCAAAGCCGGATTTGCATGTGCGTATGTTGAACTTCTTTTGCACCGTACGTAGCCAACTATGCTGATCGGGAGGTGCGGATTCTCCCGTCACGCCGACGGACGAGTGTTCAGCGATTGTTGGCCCTCAATTCCGGGGGTTATTTTTATTTCTTTTTTACGGCTTCCCACACAGAGAGACGAGGAGTCCAATCCTAGACTTACAAATGCGGTTACAGACCTTGCAAGCGTAGTCATTTCGATTTAAAGCTTTCGTGACTGCAGGGATTCATCTTCTTGGTTCTTTTGGTAAAGTCACGTAGAAGGGAAGTAATAAAATAATAAAAATAAAACATAATAAAATAATTCTCACGACGTTTCGGCCACAACGCAAGCAGCCGTCCTCAGGTGAAGAAACAGGTCTGTCGAGAAGACACTTCCCTTCTACGTGACTTTACCGAAAGAACCAAGAAGAAGCGTAGTCATTGTTTGGGGGTGGGTTAAAGCACCATGCTTACGACACGCACTCTTCTCCCGCAGAGACCTCTCACGCCACTCCTCAACAGTGGCCCACAGTCGTAATACACGGATCTCACCACCTGGGTCATATCCAGTGCAACGAGTTCCCTGGTTTGAATGCCTCTCTTGCATGCTTCGCGGTTTATAACATTCAATGTGTGGTTGTGTATCCGAGGTTGGGTCCACTCTTAACAGTGGGTTCCTGTGCTCAGTCGGCTTTTGGGACATGGCAGTCTTCAATATGGGACCACAAGTCCGGCCGAGCAAAGGTTTGTCCCCCTTAATGAGCATGCTGCTCTCGATGGCAGAGATGCGGCCACCTCTGAAATAACTTCAATGTTTGGGGATCTTGTCCTGCCACTTAAATATCGCAGATGGATTTCAGGCAGCAAAAGGTGGAAGCTCACCAGCTGTTTGAGGTGGCGTCGGTAGAGCATCATCCATGCCTCGCAGGCATAGCGGAGTGCGGGGACTACAACTTCGTGAAGGATTGTAGACCTTGGTTCCGAGTCAGACTTCACGCTCCCGCTCCAGAGCCCGTGGCTGAGCATTCCAATGCCATGCTGACCTCTCTGCCACAAGATGAGTGATCTCATCATCCGTCACACTGCTGGATCGTATGCCACGCAAAATAGCAGAATCCCTCACCCAGGTCGAGGGGTACATTGTCAATTGTGATCATGGGAACATGGTGCCTTACACTTTTCATGACCCGGTATTGAATACAGCAAGACAGATAAAAGCATTCCTGTACAACCTCTTAATTCTGCAAAGATACTTTCCATCTGCAAGAGCTGATATATTTAAACATTAAATTGCATTTCAAATTAATTTCGTGGGGATACAGCGGGTCAAGTTATGCGAGCGGCTCGCGATCGGAAGGTTGCGGAGTTCAAAGCCTGCTTTGGAGGTTGACTTTCGCCCATAATCCCTGCGGAGCCGAAAACTGGTTAACACTTGGTTGGCAACCGTGGTTGTCCTATGGATGAACTCACCCCCGTCATAGGAATGTGCAATTACCACCACTGGCTCTGGGCTGCAAGCGTGCGATGAGCAACCACCCTCATAGCTCATCTGAGCAACAACACAAAAAGAATCACCTTTGACTCAAATGTCATAGCTCACTCGATAGGATAGTAATGATCCCATTTGTGAGATTGCGAGTCGAGATCGCAGCTAGGGGCCCTTTTATCTTTGTCGGTAAAAGGAGCACTCCCTGATGTGGTGGGATCAGGCAGTGAGCAGTCGAGAGAGAGAACAAACCGTGCTAGAGGACTGTGGTATTTCTGTCAGTTACAGGACCACCAATGGAGCACCTCCCAATAATGCTCCTTTGAACGAGGAGGCTGGAATTTAAATAGATATTTTTTTTAAGGCGCTTATAAAATCACAGCTGCCCTGACAGCATGTGCTGTCAATCATCATTAAAACGCAAGAGTAAAATATCAAACAGCTGCGAGCTTGGGCAACGATAATTACCAATGAGAAAATGCCGATCGCGAGGAGATTAATTCGTTTCTAATGGACGATCGCTAATCAAGGTGGGGGTGAAACCTCTAATCCGAAAAGGGGTGATAACCAATTAACACAGATTAACAAGCTTCCTTTAACTTCAATCAGGATCGCACTGAATTCGAACTGCGTCTGCTGCGACGTTTGGACACTGCGCGTCCCAGCAACACGTGGCAGAAGGCGCCTCCCTACTAGAGCTCAAAACTCTGTAACGTCAATACAGCGGCAGCTGGCCATGAGGTCCGAACCCCCCCGTCTCTCTCGGCTGGTAAAAGGTCATCCCCCTTTATCGATAAGCGACACTTATCTTCTTGGTTCTTTCGGTAAAGTCACGTAGAAGGGAGATAATAAAATAATAAAAATAAAACATAATAAAATACAATTCTCACGACGTTTCGGACACAACGAAAGCAGCCGTTGTGGCTGAAACGTCGTGAGAATTATTTTATTATGTTTTATTTTTATTATTTTATTATTTCCCTTCTACGTGACGTTACCGAAAGAACCAAGAAGATTAATTCCTGCAGTCACGAAAGCTTTAAATCGAAATTTAAACGACACAGTTTACATTACAAAAAATATCAGTTTTTTTTACTCTGCTTTTTTCTCATCTCCTTTCCGTTTTATTCCGTCTTCCTGCGAGCACGAGGATTCGGAGGAAGCGGACGTCGTGGCAGAGACACGCGCTATATATAATGCATGCGCTGCTCTGTGCGGAAAACGCCAAATCCATTACCGCTTCGGCGCCGCGGGCGTCCGACAGCGCAGGTTTAAGATGCTGTCGTGGTGACAGACGGACCACGGAAGCCACAGGAAAGCAGGCTGGAGAGAGAATAAAAGTAAAAATAGTAATATAAGGGCCAGCAGCCTTAGCTTTAAAATGCAAGCGGATGATACCTTTGCTTCTTCGGTATTAAAAATATGACTAAATTAAACACGTATGAAATCGGCTCAACATTTCATGAGATGGATCCCTTCTTCAGAGCCAAGGCAAAAATACTGAGCCCCCATTCATGCGTTGAGAGAAATAAACCTTCAGACTATGTTTGGCTAAAGAGGGTAAGTTTTTGTTTACCAATGGCAGAATCTGCCTTTACACTTTACAGTGACAGATTAATTATGCCCAGTGGTATTTATAATTTATACAAATTATTAAACGTAACGATATCCACCTTATACGCATAGTACTGGTAGGAACCTCCTGGTTACACCAGCCCACAGGGGATTATTGTGTGTCCGTCCGTCATGCAGGGAGGGGCTGGGTGGGGAGGGTGGGGCTGGGCTGGGTGGGGTGGGGCTGGGTGGGGAGGGGCTGGTCACCCCGTGTTGCCCTTATAAAACTCAACGTTTAACCTACTCACGCCGGCTTGTGCCCACCCTCACAGTCGCCCATATTTGCGGAATACACCACGCCGCCGGCGACCCTGGCCATTGACCGAGCAACCCAACGTTCCTACCAGCTCCCTCCGCAGGAATGTTATATATTTTTTAAAGGCCTTGTCACAGGCACTGCGCACATCACCGTGAAGACAGCTACCGCTTGTGAATGTAGGTGGGCTCTCACTGTGACAGCTAATGATGAAATGTCCGGTAAATAATGGGGCAGCAGAACCTGGGGTATGCCGCAACCCCCATCCGTCACAAGGATGATGCCGATGGTCGACTTCGGAATAAATCAAGGGCCTGAAGACATAAGCCCGAGTCGTCGGCCAAAATGTCCCTGTGCTCCCAACGAATAATGGAACGTGAGCACCTCTCTCAACACCGAGCCAGTGGTGAAAATTCCACATTCCGGCGGCAGGATCCAGTTTAAGTGTAATATAACCACTGTTATTTTTGCCTCCCCTAGGTCGACTCAGCCTCAAATGAGTACCTGGTGCGGTGTGTAAACATCGCCACTAGGGAGACATAGGCGGTCGGGCGTGGTGC